TTATTTTTGCCCAAGGAAATTGTTTGCAGAAGACCAAATAACGTCTCACTTTCACCTGCATTGCTTACATCATTTATGGACAGTGCTCATCCCGCTCCATGGACCAATGGCTACTACGTGATTGTTATTATGGCACCTCCTGTGTTCAAACTGCCTATTTCTCTGTTTTGTTGTTGGTGAATCGCCAACCTTGTAAATATGTGCCGCCGAGGCAAAACAAAACAATTCTCAGCTACTCTCCAATGAAGTATAAAAAGCGGGGAGTGAGTTTGGACCGGCTACATATGCTTTTGTACAAGGACATGAGAACTAATCAGATTTTTGGATGGACTATAAAAGCATAGCATTATCCAAAAAAACAAAACCCAAAAACATAAGGTTATCTGTAATTGCTGGAGAAACGGCTGAGAATGGCCTCGTCTATATGCAATTGAATCCACTCAAGATGTACCGCACACATGCCATCACAATGATTAGAAGAGCCTAATAAAAGAGGCCAGATGGATGACCAACATGGAGCGGACATGCCGACGCACAGCACAAAACCGATACGTGTGACTATGAGCAGTAATGGAGCTCTAAGATACAGCCTCAGCGTTGTATATAGGGGAGGGCCGGCGTCTGGCAAAGGTCAGTCAGCGCAGTAGATGGATGCTTCTCACTCCATATCGCAATGACCTTTCTCCCAATCAACACTGGAGGCGAGTTTGGATCCAAGAAGACACTAATTATACAGGATTTAAAATGTCCGTCATGGTCAAGGGTTGTTGATGATGTCATTTCTTCAAATAAGTCATAAAATGTGTGTTGGCAATTCATTACTGGAATCCAATATTGTGGGTGACACAGTGGCTGAGTGGATAGCACTTTTCAGCAAGAAGGTCCTGAGTTTGCATGTTCTCCCCGTGTCTGTGTGAATGTTATGAGTGAGTGATTAGATGGTGTTTGGTCGGAGGCTTTGATGGTCCAGTGTGTGTGGAGTGAATGAAACAATATCTGAACTCTGAACATTGTAAAGCGCATTGGGTGACCCTGGTCTTTAAAAACGCGCCATATACAGTAAATAGTGATTACGTACAAAGAAATAGATTTCAGTAATAATGCATCTCCTTATTTCCGGTGCTTCTACAAAGTTAACTTTGACTAAAAACATTCTATTGGGCTTTTATTATGTCCACTTGAGGCTATTTCAGCTGTTTTGTAATTCAAACAACTACCCACCATAACATAATTCAAATTGACTTCTTTAATATAAAAACTGGCGTGCACCAAGAGAAAGAGGTGGTCATTTGTTTAAGAAGTTGCCAAAATGGAGCACACAGAATTGGTGGGAAGCGGCCGGTACCCTACAGCTTTGCATAATATGTACTGTATGTGGCCAGATGGCATTAAATCAGATTCATGCCACGAGGATGAGCAAGTACAAGTTACCCACATCAATTCTCAAACAGATCTTTCTTTTCTTCCCCAGGCTATAGCAAAATCCAGTCTGGAAAGGCACCTCATTCGCATATATCATCATATTTTACAGAAACAAAACTTCTCCCTGCCCCTACTGCGAGTGTGCAAGTATAAAACCTTCAGTTTTGGGGTAGGTGGAATGAACCATTGCTGAACCATAATACCTTATCCTTGCAGTTCCTTTTCCATTATTGAATAACTATGTGAGCTTTGCATAATTGCATTGCTACACTCTATGTGGTCAGAGAATTCCGACGAGGAATTCTATCAAACCCAATGCTCAGAGATGTAAGTATAAAACCAAAATACATCTTTTATATTGAGAATTAAATCAGTTGCGTCTTAATACATTTTGCTTGAAGTTGTTGATGCTTGTATGGACTCTGAGGTTGAATGTATGGTATGTAATATGTAATGTATGTAATATATTTATTTGACTTGGACATTGCACAGTAACTGTATTGTTCAGACCGGACATAGCTACAAGCAAATTTTCATTCGTAGTGGCATAAAGTGACAGCAGGTTTACAGTGTGCAAAGAATGTAAATAAAAGTATAAAGTAGCTCAGTTGGTAAAGCACTGGTCTTTGGACCTAATGGTTGTGGGTTCAATCTCACCACGACCCATGTCACCTGCTCCCACTGATGTCTGCTGTCATTGTGTCCCTGGGCAAGACCCTTATGTCTCATGACCACACATTGCCTGAAGCCCCCGCTGAAAGATCAAGGCCAATGTCTCCAATGACGGAGAAGCCATCTTCCCGTGGACTCACCACTTGCAGAGGATCAGCGAGGGGCTGGTGCTATGAGACTTGGGTAGCAGCTCAATAATTAATTTAAGTGGCTGCAAAAATATTAAAATTTTCACATGACATTCCTGATTTTTACCATCATCCTTTTTAATCTTGTTGATGCAAACAAACAAAAAAACAGCAATAATAAATGTAATCTTTATTGTTTTTACAACGTGTGGTGCATTGAGAGCTGCAGCCCCCTCTGTGTCTGGAACCTATTCTGTGTAGTGCATTAAAAAGACAAAGTAAGCACTAGAGCAGATTAAAAACGATGCATATGGATGTCGAGGGCGACTCAGAAAGCCTCAAAAACACCAGGAGACATTTGCGTATGTAGGTAATACCGAGAGCGGGTCCGTGCGTGTCATTTCACTCCAGAAAGTTGCATATTGCGTGTTTCATTTACTAAATCCCCTCCGACCGCTGTGCGAGGAATGATTGTGCTTCTTCCTTATCCTGCTGCACAACCTTCCGAACATCCACATTTGAGAGTTTGAACGTCACTTAAATGCCAAAGCGCCGTGTGCTCCGGGCGATAAGAGAATTTTCCTGTGAGTCATAACTTTGACTGTGAGCAGCGAGAAGGGAGAGAAGACGAGACCTTGGAAATGGCCGCTGTTCAGCCTCCCGGTCAATTAAATTCACAGGCACGTATATTTAACCCCTCCAGCTGTTTTCCGTGTGGTGCCATTTGTCATCTTGTCCTTCTAACCTGCAGTACTGAAGTCAATTTACTACTACTTCGCAGAAATGAAATGAGAGGTGCCCCGTGGTAGCAATGTCGGTGACCTAATAGTATCGTCAAAACTGTAGGAATCACATAAAGCTTGTGTGTCTTGTCGGGTTAAAGATGGTGACACACTTACTACTAGGAAAGGGATTCTATATGTTCTTAAAGGGCCAGGGCTGAAACTAACTTTTTGATCTTTTATTATTTTGTTATTATGTTGCTTGATTATTCTTTGGGAGGAATTGATTTGTTGTTTAGACCCTGAAAGGTAAATGAAAATGGTCGTTTTTATACATGACCAAAACAAGTGATTCCGCTGAACATGTTCATATAAAGTACTTACGCATTGGGCTGTTTGATTGAAATACTTAATCATTTCATTCAGCAGATCATTATAGAAATATCATAAAACGATAAAAAACTCCCTGAGTCCAGAAATCTTCAACATCTCTCAGAATAATGTTGTAAAAGTCTACTCAAGCGCAGAAATACCTTATATCCTATTTGGACATTTTCACAGGTAAGCTACACTACATACAGCCATAATGCAGATATATTAACTCATTCACTGCCCATGACGACAAAACTCGTCATGTTGAATAGTAACGCTCACTGCCCATGACGAGTTTGACGAGTTTTTCGTGTTATTACACGGGAGGCTGCAGTAATGTCTGGCGCACCTTGTGAATGACCCACAACACTGATATATAGTACAAATGTACCTGTAATGATAAATCACCACCAGTAGGATGCAGTATTGCACCACAGGAGAGGTCATAAGTCAGTGGAGAGAAGGAGGAGGAGTGTGGGAGTGTGAGAGAGCGTGCTGCTGTAGCATTGAGACGGATCAGCGATCTAGTTTAGCGATAGTATAGCAAGAGTGATGGCGAAAAAGAATAGTTATAAGCAGCTGACACTGCTTCAGAGATTGACTCGCGGATCAGTGAGTGAGGTCGAGAGGGGAGAGAGTGGAGACCCCGGTGGAGGTCCGTCTCTGCAGCCCAGAGCCCGGAGCAGGGACACACCTTCCGCCTCTCGCAGCGTATCAGCTGCTGCTGTTACTGATGCCTCGGATTCGTTCAGCAAACCTGATCATGATTTATCGGACACACTCACAAACACTCACACGCACTCACTCACTCACTCACGCACACAGACACTCACTCGCACACTGACATTCACACACACTGACATTCACACACACTGACACTCACTCACACAGACACTCACTCGCACACTGACAGTCACACACACACACACACACACACACACACACTCAAATTCACATGCTTCATTCTATTTTATACATCTATAGTTTTATTGATCTTTGTGTTGTTGTTGTTTGACGTTTTGGTTGATGGAATAGAAGAAAGTTAATTTTTCTATCTGTGAATAAATTGCAATTGCAATTTGCCATCAAAAGTATTATTTCAGAGTCATGTTTTTATAATTTTTGTAATGGAACAAGTGTGAAGATGTTTTGAGTTGTCACTAAAGCAGCAAAAATGCATCTAAAAGTCTCTTTTCTGCTTGATATGTTCCTGTTTACATACAGCTCGTTTTCTCTGTTTTCTTGCTCAGACCAGGTGTTATGGGTGAAAGTATGCTTTGTTCTATGGCGAATAACGCAAGAACGGTAAGAGGTAGAAACAAACTGTTTTTTTCAGAGTAAAGCAGAGAGGTTAATCTTTAATTTGGTGCCCTTGGTGTTTACATCGTCTAAAAAATGAATATTCTGTGGCACTTCAAAGTTGGGTCAAATCACCTGAAATTGCTGGCAGAATGCACTTCTCAAATCTGAAAATGCCTGGCAGTCAGTGAGTTAAATAACAAACAAGGTCAATAAAATAATATAATATCCATTAAGGCAAATTCGTTGAAAGATTTCACTTCATACTGATGAAAAGGTAAAACAAACAAGCAAAGCCTTGTCATTGGTTAGAATGTCCCTTAGAATGTGCAACTGTGAGATGTATCCATCCCATAGTGGTAAGTGTAATGTCCTTGACACTTACCGCCGTCACCGCCGTCACCGCCGTCACTGGACTGCAGAGCCTTCAGTGTTCGCTCAGCCTCGTGCATCTTTTTTCTGTGTTCCTCTACTTTCATCTGCAGACCTTCTGCTACCTGCTGCAGCTCACGGAGCTGAGCCTGAAACACACAGTAATAAGTATGACTGATGATGAGACGTTGGGGTTTCATACTTTATTATGGAAAACATTTTTGAACTATATTTCTGTTTTGAATGAGGAACAAGCCGATTTGAACAAAAGAAGAAGAAAACACCTCACCCACTGTACTTGCATACATGAGTGTGTGATGGGCAAAGTTCTGGCCGTGGGCATTTGTCGTAGTAAAGGCAGATGCAAACTAATGTGTTGCTAATATGGTTGCTAAGGCAAGATGGAGTCTCCCCTGGGAATGAAGGCATCTGTTTCATTCTTTATGACGCATATCTGGATTTACAAAGACACTATCAAAATAAAATACCCAGGATCATAGAGAGCAGTAAAGGACTTTTCAATGTGAGTTAAGGAGCCAGAGCGAGCACTGCCCTATTGAGCTTCAAAGAGTTAGGGCGGTCCATCTTTAAACAGCCTGGGATTTTGTAAGAGGGAACAATGTTGTTACATAGAGGTCAACAATAACACAAGAGAAAATCCAATAATCCCCATGGAATAAAATAGTTTCTAAGCTGAGCTCCAAACGTAACATCTTATCCACCACCATATTTCCAGAATTTGCATCAGAAAAGTATAGCAAATGAATATCCACCTGCTGTGTTTTCTTTAAAGCAGTCCTTCTCAAACATTGGGGCGGGCCCCCCAGAGGGGCCAGAGGGGCCAGAGGGGCCAGAGGGGCGCGCGACTGCAGGGAACAAGCCTTTTTTCTGTATGTACAACATCTACTTCCACATCCTCAGTCTCCGTTCTGACCCCTGTAGCAATTGCGGCCACTTTGTAGTGAATAACAGCAGTTCCACATCCCCTGTGGCCGCCACTCCGGCAGGCTTCAAAAGTTTGCACTGGAAATCTCAACGGCCAACAGTCATAGTTCACATCAGAAACAATAAAACGTGAAGAATATCTTTGTTACAAGATAACAGCAGACTGTGAGGACTTTATATTGATCAGATTACTGATGATGGTGATTTAATGCACTGTGTCGTTGATATTCAGGCTCAGTGCGATGTGAACTGTCACTAAAGTGGGGCCTGGTAGTGGAGAGATCACTGCAGGTGCAGACTGGCCATAGGTGCATTCTGAAGAAGCAGAGCGGATGCTTTGACAACAGCTGCACCACAATGTGACCAGAGCACAACAACACCATTCCTTGGACATCAGCAGATCCACCGCTGCAACAAACAGACCTGGCTTTTGCTTTTTTTTTTAAGCTGAGGGGCATGGAATGTTTTCTTTTTCTTACGGCAGCGTGACAGAAATGAACTGAGAATTATTTTCTGACAGATATTAATTGAGATTCGCTGCTTTAAAAAGCATTAAAAAGGTGATTCTGAGGAGCACAGGGACTGAACTCCTGCTGAGACTCTGAGGAGCACAGGGACTGGACTCCTGCTGGGACTCTGAGGAGCACAGGGACTGGACTCCTGCTGGGACTCTGAGGAGCACAGGGACTGGACTCCTGCTGAGACTCTGAGGAGCACAGGGACTGGACTCCTGCTGGGACTCTGAGGAGCACAGGGACTGGACTCCTGCTGAGACTCTGAGGAGCACAGGGACTGGACTCCTGCTGGGACTCTGAGGAGCACAGGGACTGGACTCCTGCTGGGACTCTGAGGAGCACAGGGACTGGACTCCTGCTGAGACTCTGAGGAGCACAGGGACTGGACTCCTGCTGGGACTCTGAGGAGCACAGGGACTGGACTCCTGCTGGGACTCTGAGGAGCACAGGGACTGGACTCCTGTTAGTGCCCAGAGTCAGAACTAAACATGGGGAGGCTGCTTTTCAGATTCATGCTGCTAAAATCTGGAACAATCTTCCTGAAGATGTGAGACAGGCCTCCTCTCTGACAATGTTTAAAACCAGGTTAAAGACAGTTCTGTTTAGCTGTGCTACAACTGAGGGATTTTATATTTTTATCTTTCTTTTTAATGTTCTGTGATTATTTAGGATTTTAATGTTCAGCACTTTGAGTTGCCTTGTGTATGAAATTGTGCAATATAATTAAACTTGCCTTGTGATGGAAAAAGCAGCTAATTAATTGCTCTATCAAAGACTATTTTCTAAAAACAAAGAAAATAGGTGAGAAATGGCAAAGGTAGTTGAGTGTAAACAGAGAACAAATCAAGTCTCATCGGACTGCACTTACAGTTGCTGTCGTACAGAACAACGTACCTGTATCAGAGAAATACTACGGGGTGGCATGTGTTGCATATAAGCCGGCTTTCTTTGTTCCAGAGATATCCTCAAAGACCTCCTACAATGACCACTTTGTTTTCATGCGTCGCCCGTCACTCACGTTGACAAATATTGATCAATTATATATAATCTTTGCACAATGTTATCTCCAGAGTCCAAGAATTCCACATACAAAAAGACAAATTGTGCTCTCTCTCACTGTCACTTCTTTCAAAACACTCCTGCCACATTATTATTCCAAAAGGCGCTCACTAGAAAGAAAAGAGAAGCACAATATAATATTTAAATCAGGAAGCGGCGTTGTCATAGCAAAACAGACAGCTTCTGACAGGCGACCATAAACTATCATTGCTCAGTAATAGACCAATTAATATCAAAGTGCTGCCATGTCTCAGTGTGTGGGTGTGTCTGTGTGTGTGATGTGTATGCATTTGTGTGTGTGTGTGTGTGTGTGCGTGCATATTTGTGCATGTGTGAGTACATATGTGCGTGTTTGTGTGTGTTTATGTGTGGTAGACGTGTATGTGTGAGCGTGTATGCATGTGTGAGTGTGTGCAACGTGTGTGTGTGTGGTGTGCGTTTGGGTGTGGGCGTATATGTGTGTGTGTGTGTGTGTGAGTGTGTGCAACATGTGTGTGTGTGGTGTGCGTTTGGGTATGGGCGTATATGTGTGTGTGTGTGTGTGTGTGTTTGGGTGTGGGCGTATATGTGTGTGTGTGTGTGTGCGTGTGTGTGTGTGGTGTGTGTTTATATGTGTGGGTGCATATTTGTGCATGTGTGAGTACATATGTGCGTGTTTGTGTGCGTTTATGTGTGGTAGAGGTGTATGTGTGTGCGTGTATGCACGTGTGAGTGTGTGCAACATGTGTGTGTGTGGTGTACGTTTGGGTGTGGGCGTATATGTGTGTGTGTGTGTGTGTGAGTGTGTGCAACATGTGTGTGTGTGGTGTGCGTTTGGGTGTGGGCGTATATGTGTGTGTGTGTGTGTGTGTTTGGGTGTGGGCGTATATGTGTGTGTGTGTGTGTGTGTGGTGTGCGTTTATATGTGTGGGTGCATATTTGTGCATGTGTGAGTACATATGTGCGTGTTTGTGTGTGTTTATGTGTGGTAGACGTGTATGTGTGTGCGTGTATGCACGTGTGAGTGTGTGCAACATGTGTGTGTGTGGTGTACGTTTGGGTGTGGGCGTATATGTGTGTGTGTGTGAGTGTGTGCAACATGTGTGTGTGTGGTGTGCGTTTGGGTGTGGGCGTATATGTGTGTGTGTGTGTGTGTGTGTTTGGGTGTGGGCGTATATGTGTGTGTGTGCGTGTGTGTGTGTGGTGTGCGTTTATATGTGTGGGTGCATATTTGTGCATGTGTGAGTACATATGTGCGTGTTTGTGTGCGTTTATGTGTGGTAGAGGTGTATGTGTGTGCGTGTATGCACGTGTGAGTGTGTGCAACATGTGTGTGTGTGGTGTACGTTTGGGTGTGGGCGTATATGTGTGTGTGTGTGTGTGTGTGAGTGTGTGCAACATGTGTGTGTGTGGTGTGCGTTTGGGTGTGGGCGTATATGTGTGTGTGTGTGTGTGTGTTTGGGTGTGGGCGTATATGTGTGTGTGTGCGTGTGTGTGTGTGGTGTGCGTTTATATGTGTGGGTGCATATTTGTGCATGTGTGAGTACATATGTGCGTGTTTGTGTGTGTTTATGTGTGGTAGACGTGTATGTGTGTGCGTGTATGCACGTGTGAGTGTGTGCAACATGTGTGTGTGTGGTGTACGTTTGGGTGTGGGCGTATATGTGTGTGTGTGTGTGTGTGAGTGTGTGCAACATGTGTGTGTGTGGTGTGCGTTTGGGTGTGGGCGTATATGTGTGTGTGTGTGTGTGTGTGTTTGGGTGTGGGCGTATATGTGTGTGTGTGCGTGTGTGTGTGTGGTGTGCGTTTATATGTGTGGGTGCATATTTGTGCATGTGTGAGTACATATGTGCGTGTTTGTGTGTGTTTATGTGTGGTAGACGTGTATGTGTGTGCGTGTATGCACGTGTGAGTGTGTGCAACATGTGTGTGTGTGGTGTACGTTTGGGTGTGGGCGTATATGTGTGTGTGTGTGTGTGTGAGTGTGTGCAACATGTGTGTGTGTGGTGTGCGTTTGGGTGTGGGCGTATATGTGTGTGTGTGTGTGTGTGTGAGTGTGTGCAACATGTGTGTGTGTGGTGTGCGTTTGGGTGTGGGCGTATATGTGTGTGTGTGTGTGTGTGTGAGTGTGTGCAACATGTGTGTGTGTGGTGTGCGTTTGGGTGTGGGCGTATATGTGTGTGTGTGTGTGTTTGGGTGTGGGCGTATATGTGTGTGTGTGCGTGTGTGTGTGTGGTGTGCGTTTATATGTGTGGGTGCGTGTGTGCGTGTGTATATATGTGTGGGTGTGTGTGTTTATGTGTGGTAGACGTGTATGTGTGTGCGTGTATGCACGTGTGAGTGTGTGCAACATGTGTGTGTGTGGTGTACGTTTGGGTGTGGGCGTATATGTGTGTGTGTGTGTGTGTGAGTGTGTGCAACATGTGTGTGTGTGGTGTGCGTTTGGGTGTGGGCGTATATGTGTGTGTGTGTGTGTGTGTGTGAGTGTGTGCAACATGTGTGTGTGTGGTGTACGTTTGGGTGTGGGCGTATATGTGTGTGTGTGTGTGTGTGTGAGTGTGTGCAACATGTGTGTGTGTGGTGTGCGTTTGGGTGTGGGCGTATATGTGTGTGTGTGTGTGTTTGGGTGTGGGCGTATATGTGTGTGTGTG